TTCAAAATCTGGAAAGTATTTGGACATAAAATGATAAAATGTAAGGACTTAGTTTAGGTTCCCAACTCATTTAAATGAACTTAATCAGATCAGCCTAGTTTAGTGCCTATATGTGGCATGCATGTGACTTGGTTTTAATAGTCGTAATCTGCAATTCGGTCTAGCATGCGAACGTTCAACGCTGTAATGTTCTATGGCTTGGCTTAGACGTCAACTGATACATCATGCATTAGTTTTACAATTTTGATTGCATATAAATACGAGAGTATATCTTCATTTTATTGGCATTATTTGGTATATGAGTTGTGTGCACAGTCCAATATTTGCAGAGATTGTACCTGAGAAATCCCGAAAAAGCATCTATGCATTGGACCGCTCATTCGAGACTATACTGGCATCTTTTGCTCCTCCTATAGTAGGGATTTTAGCACAGCACGTTTATGGTTATAAACCAATACCAAAAGGATCATCAGACTCGATAGAGATCGAGACAGATCGGAAGAATAATGCACCACTCGCAAAGGCACTTTACACTGCAATCGGGATCCCTTTTACTATCTGTTGCACGATTTATTCATTCCTCTATTGCATATATACGAGAGACAGGTAGATAGCAAGAATGCAGGCATTGATTGAATCAGAAATGCAACTAGAGGAAGACGATGACACTGCGTCAAATGGAAAACAATCTGAATTTCATATATCAGACTCAAAGAAGACGAATGGCGACGAAAGGGGCGAATTTCGTAGCATTGATTTGGATGACAATAATGAGAAATCTCTTCTGAATCACCAGATTTATTTCTCAAACTTAGAACACTGATGAACATGTTACTTAGCTGAAGCTTGAGGCAATCCATATCGTTTCCATTTGAAACAAAGTTATAAATGTTTCATTGTAAAACTTCGGTTGTAATCGAGTTGAAAGACATCTAATTCTATCAGATATTTTTTAATAGAATATATAAAAAGAATCCGATTAATTTTGTTTAACTTAACCGAATCGAAAACTAGTATGCATTCAACCAGAATGTTGCAGACACAGACAGAGAATGCAGCATCACTTGTATGGAGTTCCGAGTGGAGAAAAGGCTTGATTTTGGCGACAACGACGACACGAAGTCCCGTTTACATCATCAGTTTGATTTTCAGTTAGAAGGCTTCAATAACTTGGTTTCTTCCAAGAAAAAAAAGTCAATTTTATGGCAACGGGAGATTTAAGAATCAAAATGAATATTTTTGTTCACTAATTTTAACAATGAGAGGCCAATTTAAAACCAGAATCATAGAATTTAAGATTATATGATATAATTAACTCAAATTTTAGTATCCGAAATATACTCGATCAGTCGAGTTCCAGATGTGTAAACTTTATTTACATATATATTTTAGGCTAATTCCAGCACCAGCTGCATTATTTGCAGTTCACTGAATCTACCTTTGCTAAGCAAAAACCATAATTTACCAGCTACTGCGGTAACCATGGCGTTTCAAATCATTGCCAAGCAAACATCAAGTCATAGCTTAAAAGGCATACTAGGTTAATCATAAGAAGGAGCCGAAAATCGATAACGGTTCAGACGTCTCCGGCTCCGATCAAGGCAAGAAGCATTCTCTTATAGTCCCCAGAAGTATCTCCAGCAATTGCTTTTTCGAGAAGGACACTGTTCCTACGCTGATATGCTTCCTTGATGCGTACCATGTCTACCTCCGCCCGAGTTGCCACGACTCGGATAATAGCCGAATCATCAGTTCCGATTCGATTGATGGCTTGACGTAAAACCTTCTCGAAATAGTCCTCGGGGGTAGTCAAGCACTTGATAGCATCTCTCATTAATTTGAGGAATTCATCCTTGGACTCGGGCTTCAGATCCTGCAATCCAGTTTGAATTAGAACATAATAAGAAATACTTGCATATATTTTGTTGATAAGCCGGACCTTGCTGATGTCATTGCCGACTGAAGAATTGTACTGGTTGAAAGTTGCATTTAGCTGTGCCCTGCTCCTTGTTGATAGAATCCTGATCACCTCCTCATCATTGTAATGCTTGTGCGAGATCTTTTCGTGAAGTATCTTAGCCTCGGATTTCGCCAACGACAAGTTCACTTCGTCTCCCTCGTAGCGGTATGCGCTAACGAGAGGGACCAAAAACTGCATCAAGAAAGTATTATGAGCAAAGCATTTGAACACGAGAATGATCGAAGCACGGGAGAAGAAATTCGAGCCGGAACCTTGCGGTAATCTCCGCTAAAGTGGTGCGCGACGTCTTCTTCGAGCGACTTCTTATAACGAGAATGATAGTACTTTTTGGCATAGTGAAGTTCCTTTGAAGACCTAGCGCAAGCTACTTCCATGATGACCCAACTGCTCGATGATGGCTTCTTTGTGGCTTCATTAACCAGATGTGCATCTCGCTCTGCAGGGTCCAGTGTAAACAGCAGCACAACCCGCTGTCGAATGGCGAATGAAACAAAACAAAAATCCCCGATAAGTTACAGAAATCATAGAGGAATAAACATCGAAAGGCATGTCGAAAATCGGACCTCGAAGTCGCTAGAAAGTTCCTTCTCCAAAGACTTGAGCAGATCTTCACCATAAGCTTCATGGTAAGTTTTCCTAATCGAAATGCGCTGTGCTGCATTCCTGTAAGCCAATATGTCGATGATCATTTGCTCGTTCGTACCCCAGCCTGCAAAAAGAATATCGGAAACAGTTCATCATCATGGCCTGTTCTTTCAGTTTGAACAAACATTAACTGGAAGCATCTGTTTATTGTATAATTCAAGAAAGACCTTCAAAAGCTTTACGAAGCTGCTCGGCATCCTCAGAAGAAGGTGGAGCATGAGCTGGGACTTTAAGGGTTGCCATTGAAACTCTCTCTGTGTTTCGTTTGCAATGCAAAATGTGGCAATTAAATTTCCCGTTTTGTTTTTGGTAAGGACTTGAACGTTAAGATTAAGAGCATTATATGGTAATCAAGCATTCGCATGCAAATATCCGTTCGTATTTTCAGCCGAATATTTGAACAAGATATTACTATTTTAGTCTACATGCAAAGTTCGTCCACTCATTTTACCAAAATTATTTCTCTTTTAAAAATTAAAGAGTAAAGTAAGCAAATGGTCCCTTGACTATAGGGTAATGTTTTATTAAGTCCTTCGACTATTAAAAGTTATAAAATGGTCCTTCAACTATAGAATATTGCTTTATTAAGTTCTTCAACTATTAAAATTTACAAAATGACCACTTGACTATTCATTATGTTCCAAAGTCATCTTTTTCCGTAAAAAATTGGTGATTGTCTATGTTGAATGTTAGCATGATGATTGAGATATGATAGTCGTTTGAGATTTAGGGATCAAACTTTATCATATCATAGTCAGCAGGTTAGCATTCAGATCAAAATACCGTCAATTTTTAACAAAAAAGGATGAGTTTGATACATAATGAATAGTCAGTGACTATTCAATAACTTTTAATAGTCAAGGGGCTCAACAAAGTAACACTCTATAGTCGGAGGACTATTTATAACTTTTAAAAGTCGAATGACTTAATAAAATAATACCCTATAGCCGAGAAACCATTTGTATAATTTACCAAAAATTTAAATTTGCATGTTAATATATTTGAACTTTTAAACACTTATATTTTTTCAAGTTTGGCCCTTTTTCAACTTTTGACTCAAGTATTTCATTACTAATAACATGTATTTTACGGTTAATATGACTAAAAAAATTTAAGTTAAAAAGATAAAAAAATAATTTATTATAAAATAATATAAAGAAAAAGATGTTACATTAACAAAATATTGGCATGTATTGTTAACAATAAATATTTATATTTATTTATTATAAAATAATATAGGATCATACAGAGAATCACATTAACAAAATGATAATATGTTAGTAATAAATTATCATATACGTATTATTATATTATTTTAATAATTTAATGATCTAATTATTATTCTCATTAAAATTAAAATTTTAATTAAAAACAAGAAAGATTGACACATAATTTTACAAATTAATAAAGTAATATGTATATTGGTGATTAGATTTATAATTACACGTAATAAAATTCTTTTTTTAAAATAATTTTGAATAATTATAAAGTAATATATGTTCAAAAAAATTATAATTGATAACACATCTCACAAATGTTGCTCGAATCTAAGACCTTTAAAGAGATCAACATTCACTTTTACTGCTACTTAAAATTGAGAGGAACATAAGATATATTTTTATCATATTAGTTAATGTTAAATATTTAATCCCAATTTCGGTATCTAATTACTATTTTTTGCATAAAAGTATTGAATATTAATTTAAATATAAATAATTAAGTTTGAAGTCATGTATAAAAATTAAGTCAAGTTTTTATTAGTTATTATACTCTATAAATAATTTAGTCCACGTACCTTAATATGATAATTTTTGTTCTTTTATTCTTTTTTAAATTTTAAATTTTTGTTATAACTTAAATAATAGTTGTGAAATCTATTAAGTTAAATTTTAGGATAAGCAACGTGTTTAATATTTAAACTATCAGTTTTGGTTCGTTTTAGTACTTAAACTTTAAAAAAAAAATTAAAATCATGCCTAACGTTTAGTTTTTGTTTCATTTTAGTATCCGTTAAAAACTTAACGTTAAGTTTTGAAAAAAATTAAAAATTTAGGTACTAAAACGAATCATAACTTATAGGTTAGGTACTAAACGCATTATGTTTTTTAATGACGGCCCGTCAACGGGATACTAAAATGAAACAAAAATTAACGTTATGAATGATTTAAGTACTAAATACATTATTTACCCTAATTTCATTATTTATAGCTGTATTATATGTTAAATTAAGCTTGTGTTTTTTTAGCAACTCTATACTTTATATATAATACAGGGACTAATGGCTTAATTTGATCTTAAATTAAGCTCGTGTTTTTAGCAACCATAAACCGGTTCCACTATACGATTCTATTTCAACCCGGTTAAAACATAGGAACCGGAAAGAAAACAGAGTAGTTTTGCTTTAGCAGAGAGCCGAAGACTCGAAAGAGTGACCCGGAAAAAAAAAGGTAGAGTCATTCCTCGATCTCATCTCAGTAATTTTCCAGCAAGACCATTGGATTAGCAAGGCGAGGACCGACGTTTGCGACGCTGAACGAGAAAATCTCCCATTGAGATTCTTCCTGAAGGTCGCCACTAATGGCGGCAACGAAGCCCAAAGCTTCTGCTCCGATTCCAGGCAAAATGAGCCCACACATTTGGTTCTACTCCTTTGTGCTCATTATTCAATACGGCATGCAACCTCTCATCTCCAAACGCCTCACCAGGTAACAAAAATTTTCCTTCGAAATTTTAATATTTAATTATGTGCCGTTGATCGTAATCAATCACTTTCATGATTTTATATAATTTGATTTAATTTTTTGAGTGGTTTTTCCTAGTTTTTTTTTTCTCTTCTTAAACTTAAGCCATTAGTAGTCGGATATCCTCATTGGCATCAATTGCTTAAATGTATCCATGATTGCATATCTTAATGTAATGCCATCTTTTAAAGTTTGCAATGCTAGGATGTATGCTATGTTGTTTCGTCTTTTCATTTTCTTTAAAGTACCTGTGTCAGTCACATATTTGGATATCTGTATAGAGATATGATCTTTTAAGAATCTTTCAAAGACAGAAATTCTGGAAACAATTGAACATATACGTGTTTGGTGCATAATTGTATCCGATTTTCAAACTCGAATCCAAGTAGCATAACATGTATGTGGATCATAACTGACACCTAACTTCCTTGTTTTCTTTCCAAGTTTTTTAACTCATGATAATCTTCTTCTTCTTCTTCTTCTTCTTCTTCTTCTTTTCTTTCAGTCGGGAAGTAATTGTAACTTCATCAGTCTTGACATGTGAGGTAGCCAAGGTATTTTTACGAATAATATGTATTTTTGGTTATTTTAGCGTTTAGATTTATGAGATCATTTTTGAATATGTTTACTAGGTTGTATTTGCTATTATTCTCATGGCGAAAGATGGCAGCTTAAAGAAACTGGCGAAAGAATGGACTTTGATGGGTTCACTCGCTGCATGTGGTCTTCCTGCCACAATTTATGCACTTCAAAACATTTTGTTGCAGATATCTTATAGGAATCTCGATTCACTTACTTTATCAATGCTGAACCAGACGAAAATATTTTTCACTGCCTTATTTACATTTATCATACTAAGGTATCTTTCCCAACAGGTTCTTTATCCATCATTTTTCTTCTTTAGTATTGTCAATTGGTTCGTTTTCAGCATATGAACTAGGTTGATGTTTGTATATTTCACTCACTGTAGCTCACCGATATGTTGGCCTCCTTTTGAGTATCAAATGGTTAATTTGGCTAGTATTTTTCTGGATTTGATTGTTCTTATGACTCTGTTTATTTTAATAATGATATTTGAAGTATATTTGGCTTAGTTTGAGACGATTCTGTGCAGGCAGAGGCAGTCAATTCAACAAATTGGGGCTCTGTTTTTGTTGATCATGGCAGCTGTTCTTCTAAGCATCGGTGAAGGTTCTAGCAAATCTTCTAGCAGTGGTGATCCCGAGCAAATTCTATTTTACGGAATTATCCCTGTTTTAGTTGCTTCTGTACTTTCCGGCCTAGCTTCTGCATTATGTCAATGGGCTTCTCAGGTAAGAATCAGCTTATTTTCGATTTTAAATCAACAAATTATCTAGGCTTGTCTATCTTCTTTCATTTTCTTAATATTTTCTTTATTATAGGTCAAGAAGCACTCAGCACACTTGATGACTGTAGAAATGTCTATTGTCGGAAGCTTGTGCTTACTGGCTAGTACCTCCAAGTCTCCAGATGGAGAAGCTATTAGACGTCATGGATTCTTTTATGGTTGGACTCCACCAACTTTGGTAATTATCTTATTTTATTTGAAATTTTATTTAGACAAAATTAGGGATGATCTTGGTTTGAAGAAGCAGGAAAAGAATAATGTAAGACTGGGTAGGGAACTTTACAAGTTAAGACTTGTACTTTTTTGGTTGAGGTATCTCTCGTTTGCCCTTTGAAACCCCCAACAACCTGAAGTTATTGTCTTCTCGTGGTGCCTATATGTGGTTTGAGTCCTGGGATTTTGTCTCCCTAAAGAATGTCCTTAAGGGTCGGGAGACAATCCGGGGACTAAAACTGCACATAGACACCCTCAACAATAAAAGTCATCGATACTTTTATGTTTTTAACTTGCATGGTACAAGCAAGCTGAAGTTTAAACAATACTATTTTCATTTCCTTTTCAGATTCCGGTTGTAACCAATGCTCTTGGCGGGATTCTTGTTGGCCTTATCACCAGCCTTGCAGGTGGTGTGACAAAGGTAAGCCTAACTACATCAAATTAATACAGTGAAAACTCAGGATGAGGCATTGAAGGGGACATTGATGATTAAATAGATGCATGTTGATATGGGGGCTATTTCATTGCATCCATCTAAATCATCAAGTAAACAAAATAATGAGTTTCAAGTCATCGACCTCGCTTAATTTGACTAGTCCATGTATTGAAATCAAAGAGGGATGGAGGTTAATGTAGGCAAAGTGCCTTGAAATCTTTGAACATCTCCTCTGGGAGCAAGGGGCACTGATGCAGAGATGAAACTTATTCCCCTTCTATGAACAGAGATTTCAAAAGATCGCTTTCGTGAGATCTTCAAAAGTGAAAATCACTCTTCATTTTATTGTTTGAATTTAGTTTCTATGCCACATACCATTTTCTCAAGAATACTTATGCTGGCAATTATTTTCTCAAATGCGAGCAGGGGTTTGTCGTTGTTTCAGCACTTCTTGTAACGGCGATGCTGCAGTTCCTTTTTGAAGGAAAATCACCGACGACGTATAGTCTCATGGCTCTTCCACTTGTTATCAGTAGCGTTTCCATATACCAGAAATATCCATACCGACTCAGAAATAAGGAAGCCTAATAACACCTGCAAGCAGGTATGGAGATTTCTCAGAGTGGCCCCAGTCATTATAGTTTCCATTCGTTTTTCTCATGTTTGAATGGGAGGGTTGACAGGCATTTTAAGATGCATGCAAATGAATAAGACACATTATATGTGCTTAGAAATGTGAATATAAAGAAGCAAGGCTTTGGTGTTAGTCTGACCTTTTGGAACAGTGCAAAATTGTATGAATTACTCCCGCAATCGAATTCATTCCGATCAAGTTGACAGTAACGCTTGTGTAAATGCCACTGTTCACTTCATTGGAAGTTTTTGTAACTACTAGAGATGTAATATCTTTATAAATCGTTAAAAACAGCATCCTAGTCGCATCTTCGTCGGATATCTCTGACGGCAAATTCCGATCAAACAATTTGACACTGTGAAAGGCTTCCAAGAGACACTTCTACATCGGTGATGCGTAAATCCAATTTAACAGTCTCCGATGGCACTTTCGAACGGGGAGAAACTATTAGAGATAATTTACTTTTACTATAACACAATTTTCAGACAGAAGCAAAGTAAATTATATATTTTAATGAAGGAGAAGGCCTAGACTATTACATTAATCATTTTTTATTTTAAAATCCATGTAAGAATTAAATTGTTTCTTTTTGTTAATACTGTTCTAGTAAGCTGAGAAAGTATTTCTCATTTTCCCTGTAATAAATTTTTAAGGGTAAATTATATAAATAGTCTCTGAACTTTTAGTATGCTTGCATTTTATCACTCAACTTTTAAAACTTACTATACAATCGTCGAACTTTTAGTTTGTTTTCATTTCTGTCCATGTTGTTAGCTCTGTTAGATTTTCGCTGACGTGGCAGGTAACCCCGTTAACCCACCCCTCTCCCCCTCCTTCCTCCTTTGAAAACCCTAACTTCCAAAAAACCCAAAAACCATAACCCCTTCAAAATCATAAAACTCCACAAAATAAAAAACAATAATAACAAGCAGGACGATCCAAACAAGAATAACAAGGAAAACCCTTGTTCATGATCGACCCTTGTGAATGAGCCAAATCCCCTGTTAGGTTTGAATGGGGGGGAAACAGATTTGAGGAGCTCCAAACCTGAGGTCCAAGAATGGTGCAGAGGGTGACAGGAAGTAGCAGAGTGAGTAGGGCTGGTGATGCTTTTCGTCCAAATACACTTCTTTATTTGTCAAAGCAACGGAGTTTTTCAGTTAGGGACTGGCCTTCTGGTCAAGGAGGGGTGTCATGGGTGCAAGGCAGTGCATTTTCGGTTCCATCATCATGCCCCATATGCTACGAGTATTTGGCTTTAACAGACTCAAGTTTTTTGTCCTGTTGATGTGGTTTCCGGCTCTGGCTTTTCTGTCACAAGAGGATTCTTGAGGAGGATGGACGTTGTCCTGGTTGCAGGAAGCCGTATGAGCATGATCCTGTGGAGGCTGAAGCTAGCGTTCTAGGAAGCAGTCTAGGAAGCAGTCTGAAATTTAGGATGTTGGCTCGTTCTTGTAGCATGATTGCAAGGTCTTGGAAGCACTCTCTGTTTTTCTTGAATTATGTATGTTGCATTACTCTTTTCTTTGCTCCTACTTTATTGTGTGTTTTGTTAGTAGTAGTAGACTCTGAGTTCTGTAGATTTAGATGCGAGTATAATAGCATAACCCTTTTGGCACCTGGGAATTGAGCTTATGTTTCTATGGGTTTGGTTCTTATCTGTTTGGTGCACAAGTTGATGTAGAGTACTTATCTTGGCATGTGAATAGATAAGTTGGTATAGAAATTCAATAAATAAAGAGATATGAGATGTAAATCTATTGTATGAATATCTATATGTTGAAGAAAAGGTTGATTTGCAATAATTGGATGATAATAAGCAATACCATGATTTGACACCAAAGATGCTAACTACCCACCGTGCCTAACCCCCGAATCCCAAAGCATTTCCAACTTTTCCATGGAAAGACTTTCACAACATCTAAGCGTTGTCAATGCTTTCCGGATCTGTTCAAAACGATTTTTGGTTTTTTATTTTTATTTTGCGGAGGTTATGATTTTCAGTGGGGTTATGATTTTTGGGTTTTTGATTTTTTTGGAGGTTAGGGTTTTCAAATGTAGTAGAAGAAGGAGAAGGAGAAGGAGGGGATGGATTAACGGGTGTTATCTGCAATGTCAACGAAAATCTAACGGAGGTAACAATATGGACAAAAATAAAAACGAATTAAAAGTTCGATGATTGTATAGTGTCCTAAAAGTTAGGGGACTATTTATATACTTTACCCAATTTTTAATTCTCATTTTAGATTGGTTTTATAAAAGAAAACAGTATAACTGAACTCAAAATCAAAAGGGGTAAATTGAACGAAAGTAAAATGGAGGGGGATAAAATAGGAAAGGAGAAAGCAGCTCAAAGATTTTGACTCTCGATAGTTGGCGGTTTATCGTGCTCACCATATAAAGGATTAAAGTTGAAGCTTTCCCACATTTTCTTCTCTCTTTTCAAAAATTCATTTTTTTTTGGTTTCATCCGAAATAGTATTAATAATATTTTTGTTTTTCCTTCGACATTCAGATCTAAAACTCTCGTTCATACAATCAAAAAGAGAGAAGAAATTGAAAAATGGCAACAGTGTCTCCCCTGATGAAATACAAGCTTGTATTCTTAGGCGATCAATCCGTCGGCAAAACCAGCGTTATCACCCGCTTCATGTACGATAAATTCGACACCACTTATCAGGTCAATTTTTTCATTCGTTTTTTAAAACAATTCGAGGTGGTTTTTCTGATTAAGGTTTTTCCGTTTCTTAAATTCATCTGTTTCGCGCGTACTTTTGTTCTGAATTCGATTTATTGCATCTCCGTTAGATGATCGGGAGTATTAGTCACCGATTAACATAATGTTGTTGTTTCTGTTGTTGATCTTGGCCAAAATGATTTTAGTTTTAAAAAAAAAGCTTGATATTTCAGGGAATTATGAATTTTGTATGATTATTTTAGATTTTGAATCGATAGTTTGTAAGCACATTTTCCTTGAACAAGAAGAATTGGCTCATGATTTCTTGATATAAATCAATTGCAGGCCATAATAGGAATTGATTTTTTGTCAAAAACTATGTATCTTGAAGATCGGACGGTTCGATTGCAGCTTTGGTAATATGCTCTCTTCCTCCTTCCCACTCTTTGCTGAACAACGTAGCCTTGGATTACTCTGGTTAGCGCTAATTTTAGTAAGCTTCGGTCCATTTTGATAAATGTTGAATGATTGTAAGCACATTTGTTTTCATCTTATAACTTTAAATTTTAGTCATCAAATTAGCTCCAAATAGAGCTGTACATATTTGTTGTCACTTGTCAGCGATAATTGTTTGAATTAGTGGACAATTTTTGTCGTTTACTCCATCCTCTTCAAAAAAAACTTTTGGTTTTCATGATGCATATACTTTTCAATTTTCCAATTATCTTGTCTCTGTTTGAGTTTATGTTATGATTTCACAGGGATACTGCAGCGCAGGAAAGATTTAGGAGTCTTATTCCAAGTTATATCAGAGATTCTTCTGTTGCAGTAATTGCCTATCATGTAGCTAGTATCAGGGAACCCAAGTACTTAATATTACACGCACATAATTATTATGTTTTATTAATCGAACACTCCCTTTATAACCATTATCACTAGTTCGACGTATGCGTTAACCTTACATTTGCATCCCTTACTTGGATTTATCTATTTGCAGATAGACAATCATTTATGAATACTTCAAAGTGGGTTGAAGAGGTACGAACATAACGAGGCAGCGATGTCATTATTGTCCTCGTTGGGAACAAAACCGATCTCGTTGATAAAAGGTTAGTGATGAGTAGGAAATACAGTTGGACGCTTTAGATTGGGTTTCCATATTACTGGAGTTTACTGATCGTGTTTGCCTGCCCTTGTTTGACTAAACAGGCAGGTTTCTATAGAGGAAGGAGATAACAAGGCTAAAGAATTTGAAGTCATGTCCAATAGAAACCAGTGCGAAACCAGTGTCAAAATAAGTACCTAAATTATTTTTTGTTAAAATAAGTACCTAAAGTATTTTATGTCAAAATAAGTATCTAAACCATTCAAACGTTTTAATCTAAGTTCTAAAAAAGTTGACATGTGACATTAATTAAATAATATTTTAAGTACTTAGATGAATAAAAATTGAATACTTTAAATACTTATTTTGATCAAAAAATACTTTAGGTACTTATTTTGACTAAAAAGATAACTTTAACTACTTATTTTTATAAAAAAATATTTTAGGTACTTAAATAAAAAAGAATACATACTTTAAGTATTTATTTATTATATAACCCATTGAAAAATGATTGATGTGAAATTGCAGCCTCTGTTCCGCAAGATAGCTGCTGCGTTACCTGGATTGGGAACTAATTCTTCAACAAAACAGGAAGACATGGTTGATGTAAACTTGAAATCCAGTGGGAATTCATCTCAAAATCCAGACCAACAAGGCGGGGGTTGTGCTTGTTAAAGAAGATAATGTATTTACTACAAGCTTAGCACTTAGGTAAGTTTCATTCACCAAAATAAGCTTCTTAATATTTCATTTACACACAAAAAAAGGTTATAGTTTACTTGCATAATATAATTTTAAAATGAAATTACCGAAGCTGGTAATATTTTTCAATGACAATATCTTATAGCTTACTTACATAATGAATCTTTAGTTTGTGTAAATAAAATAGATCTTTTCTTAAGGACAAATGCCGAGGTTCTTGGAAAACCACCTGACGGCGGGTATTGGCGCCGCCGACTCTCCTGCATAGGGGTGTAAACGAGTCGAGTCAAGTTCGAGTATTGCTGAGCTCGACTCGAAAATTCTGAAATGGAGCTCGACTCGACTTGAACTCGAAATTCTGAACTGAAGCTCATGAACAGCTCGAAAAGGCTCGAAATAAAAAAAATATTAAACTTAACTCGATTAAAACCTCAAACTCAAACTCGAAC